AGAGAGAGAGAGAGAGAGAGAGAGAGAGAGAGAGAGAGAGAGAGAGAGAGAGAGAGAGAGAGAGAGAGAGAGAGAGAAGAGAGAGGGAAGCCATAGCCGCTGTCTGATTGAGATCCGTTGTGTGTGTGTGTGTGCGGCAGAGCCGCTAGAGACAAACATTCTTGTATATTGATAATAATATTGGAGATGACATCTTCAAGTGTTGATTGTATCTCAATTCGGCTTCTCACGTGTGAACTCTCATGTGAATGTTCATTGATGTATGCAAGGCTGAACTTGACGAGTACTTGGCTCATTTGACGGATGTCTCGAAGCACAAAAAAGACGGTGACCCCTAGAGAAAAACTTCCCTCTCTTGCAAACCGTACGTGCAACTTTCATCGGATACAGCTCTTTAAGGAAATCTTACAGAGCTGCATTCGCCACACAATTAAGATTCAGAACTTCACATTAACACCTTCTCTTCTTCCCCAAAAGAAGAAAAAAAAAAGAAAAAAAAAGAAACATGACGATTTGAGCTCCTGAAGACAGCCAAAATGGCACCAGACTACCAGAACGGAAGTCGCCACTGGAAATGTTTCCCTTGAGCGAGACTTCTCTGGGGCACTGGGTTTCCATGGTCCCCCGGGCATTGTCTTCTGGGACCCGCTTTTGTCAGTAAGTATTATGTGGATAACAATGAATGAATGATTGAATGAATGAGCAAGAATCAATGTCGGAAAGATCCCTTACTATCAGTTCCAAAAGATCTCTCATTTAGCTCTCCTTCCCCACTTCTCTCCACCTAGATGTGCTTCATGTCCATGGCAGACCATCCGCGCTATGCGATAGTTTGCATGGATGTCCGAAGGGCAACACAGTACCACTTTGTCTTTCCCATCTGGGGCAGTCATGCCTGACTCACATAGGAAGTCCAGTTGCAGCAGTACCCAGCCCAGCAGGGGCCTTCTTGGAGCAGCACCAACCAGTACGTGAAGATGGAAGTCCACTATGGCCGAAGGTAAGTCTTCTAGACCGCTCCCTTGATCGTCCTCCTCCTCTCACCAACTACTGTCCTCCTCCTAGCTCCATAGCCCGGTATGGCAGTTATGACTACTCCGTCCATAGCCAGGCTCTCTCTCTCTTCTCCACGTACTCCTCGATAGCCATGGGGGGATTCTCCATAACCATCATTTCCTTCTCCACCCAGGAGCTCTGCGACTGCCATTTCTTCCTTGTTGGCTGAGCAGCGGCATGACTGCTGGGTGAGTGCCCCAGACTACTCAACACAAGAATAATATGCACTTGCCTCCAGTCCCTATACCCTCGGTACTCTCACTGGAAGCCTCCGGTCGTGCACTTGGTCCTACCAGCTCCCTGCCTTTTGGGCAGGAACACCATTACAGAGTGTAATCCTACCAACAGACAGTCTATCGAGATTTAAACATAATCCCATCTGCTATCCCACAGGACTGCAGGGCCTCTCCGAGATGCTGGCAAATCCCTATTGGGTCCCTAGCAGATTCTACTTTTTTTTTTTGTTGTTGTTGGAAATCCCATGTCGACTAGCGAGGAGTGATACCAGCATCCCCCCTCTAGTAGACTTGCTGGGTGCTCTGATGTATTGGTGGGGATCAGCATCTGCTGGGAACTGGGCCCAGCGTCTCTTTCACAATTATCAAATGTCCGAGCATTCCCGGGGCCGTTACCCAGTTTCGGTCAGGAGCAGGGGCTACGGCAGTGCGTTTGCACTAGACAAGACCTAGGCTTCTATTGCTGTATGTGGGCACCGGCCCAACTACTGCGCCCCTCCCGCCCCTGCCAGTGTCATACAGCACTGGATTCCCCGGGAGACACCTCGGCGTCTGGAGCTGTCCGTTTATCTGGGCTGCTCCCCATCCCATGAGATGATTGGACTAGCACCTCTCTCAATCTACTCCGTGAAGCGCGTTGTCCACCATCACACCCCGTGCCGTGGACCACCTAAGTCTAAGCCTGTGTCTGTGGATCTCACCTATTCACCCTTGCCCCAACAGTTTATCATACATCTCCCATTGGAGCAGGTTTGCGTTGTCCGGGTTACTCTGTGCAAGGAATATGAGTGTGAATGATATACAGAAAACCAAGTTGAGAAATCACACAGATGTCCAGGTAGTCGTGTCCAAGCAGAGAGTACAAAATGCACCGAGAAACCATCCATATAGAGCAATACAATGAAGAAATGAGCCAATGTTCAAGCCGGTAGGCCACACCAACACAGTATCCAAAGTCGCTCCTCTCTGTCTGGTGCCCAGCGCCCAGCCTACTCTACCCGACTATCCTACCTACAGCTGGTTCACGCAACAGTCTCACTTCGACTCTCGAAGGCCAATGTACATGACTGTCAACACCATAGCCGACCTCTCTTCAGGTACGTATCTCATCACCTTCAATCAGACCTCGATTACCCCACACTCTCCTCCTTCCTTGAAGACCACCAGATCGCCCGCTATACCCCCCTGGCGCCCAGCAGCCCGGCTATGGCTGCCTGCGCCCCGCTGCCCTGCGGCGCCCCACTTCACCTCTACGCGCCCCGTCAGCGCCCTTGGCAGCAGTGCAGCATCAAGCAGGAGCGCAGCAGCACTTCCGCATTGCCTGCACTGGCCAGAATGCCTGGCCTGGGCTCCCTCACTTCTTTTATGGAAGTGGCAGTCTCCTGGATGCTGCGTGTGGCCTGGCTGGAAGCTTCCAGTAGCTTCCGGTTGGGCCTCCGACCCTGCGCCCAGGCGCGAGACTTACAGTTCAGGGCCTGGGCCCTTTTGAGTTGGGCACGGCCTGAGTCTCCGGACTTGGGCTGTTTGCTGCATCTGTGCAGGGCTCCCAGGTAGGTGCGTCGGCAGTACTGCTGTTCCAAAGGCCGGTGGCCTGCTTCCCAATGTATCGGCCCTGCTTTGTGTGTATGTGCCCAGGCGCAACTGTCAAGGCCTGGGGCAACTGTATGACGCAGCTTAGTGAGGCTCATGCATCTGCCCAACCAACTGCCGTGCTGCGAGAGCCTGAATACCCACATATGGAAATGTCGAATTTTGGCCTTTGACGAATATTCAGGCCCGCCTTCGCTTAGGGCGGGCACTTGGCTTGCCGGGGCCTTAGCCCAGAACATGTGTTGTCTGTTAGGGGCCCCTTGAGGGCTCGTTCCTCACAGGGGCTACGGCAGTGCGTTTGCACTAGACAAGACCTAGGCTTCTATTGCTGTATGTGGGCACCGGCCCATCTACTGCGCCCCTCCCGCCCCTGCCAGTGTCATACAGCACTGGATTCCCCGGGAGACACCTCGGGGTCTGGAGCTGTCCGTTTCTCTGGGCTGCTCCCCGTCCCATGAGACGATTGGACTAGCACCTCTCTCAATCTACTACGTGAAGCGCGCTGTCCACCATCACACCCCGTGCCGTGGACCACCTAAGTCTAAGCCTGTGTCTGTGGATCTCACCTATTCACCCTTGCCCCAACAGTTTATCATACATNTCCACCATCACACCCCGTGCCGTGGACCACCTAAGTCTAAGCCTGTGTCTGTGGATCTCACCTATTCACCCTTGCCCCAACAGTTTATCATACATGTCCCATTGGAGCAGGTTTGCCTTGTCCGGGTTACTTTGTATCTTCTTTCGAGAGCCTGCCAATGTGCAGAGCACTCAGTCTCCAAGAGACGGAGGAGTTCTTCCCAGGCCTGCTGCAGTGGTTGTTGCTCCCCCTCAATTGCCTCCCGTCATCTTCTATTCCAGATGATCCAGAGCGTCAGGGGACAGTTTCTGAAAAACCGTGCACTGGTACGGCTGAGGGAAAGCAGTCCCAGGAAAACCGTGCCTCAATGGGATTACGGGTAATCATGTAGCCAAGTTACGGTTCTGCCCCCTGTGTCTACACCTGTTTACTGACCTACCCCTGTCACAGACACAGAAACATATCACGGAAAACAGAGCGACGACATGGGCACATATTTAGACTCAGACAAGCACACAGGCATACATACATCAGCAGCAGAACGCAGGCTCAGAAAAACATGGCAGAATGCCCAAAAGACACTCAGGACTCGGAAATCTCAGCAAAACAGATGAAGACAGCATTTTTTTCTAAAAATCATTCGAAAATGTAGATTTCAGATTTCACAGTCTGTAGCTTTGCAGGTCATTGTAGATACCACTAACTTGACCCAGTAGAAATGGTCGGTTGGATGACAAGCTCCGCTCACTGGTTTGATTTGCTGAGGATATCTGTTATAGAGCTTTCAGGCACCTTTATGACTTGACTTTCACAAGACCTGGACCTGCAAAGAAATCTGACTGTGTGTTTCGTTTGATGCTCAAAATTAACCCAGCCCATGTGGGTGAATGGTATACCGACGGAACTGTTGACAAACAGACCCGAGTTGAATCTTGCTGGGGTCAGACGATCAAATAACTCTGAATTACCCGGGGCCTGTCAGTTCGATGTTGATAGCCCGTCACCCTTTGTATAAAAGAGAGTCTTTAAGAGACGAAATCAAATGATGCATGAAACCGGTACTTTTAAGGCCTTCTCACGTTTATGCGCAATAGGTAAACCAGTAAGAATCAGAACATGTAATTACAATGTCCCAGAGAGAGAGAGAGAGAGAGAGAGAGAGAGAGAGAGAGAGAGAGAGAGAGAGAGAG